TCGAACCATTACTGCGAATAGACGATTTGCTAGATCGCGTGCAAGGAAGCAAAATATTTTCAAAGATTGATTTGAAATCCGACTATCATCAGATTGAGGTTGAGCCGGAAGACCAACACAAGACTGCCTTTAGGACAAGGTATGGGCATTATGAATTCGTAGTTTTCCCCTTTGGTCTAACGAATGCCCCTGCTACTTTCCAAAGAACGATGAACGAACTCTTTCGTGAATGGCTCAACAAATTTGTTGTAATTTATTTAGACGATATTTTAATTTTTAGCAAAAATGAAAAGGAGCACGCTGAGCACCTTCGACTTGTGCTAAATAAATTGAGAGAAGCAAAAATCAAGTTAAATCCAAAGAAGTGTGAATGGGCTAAGCGTCAGGTGTTATACCTGGGACATGTGATTGATGGAGATGGGGTCAAACCGGAAGATGCCAAAATAGCAGCAATCAGAGACTGGCCAAACCCCCGCACCTTGACTGAGTTGCGGTCGTTCCTTGGGTTAGCCAACTACTATCGAAAGTTCGTAAGACACTTTACGATAATAGTTGTTCCCTTTCGCCCATTGCTTAAGAAAGAAGTAATTTGGAAGTGGGATTCAGACTGCACTATGACCTTCAAGCATCTGAAAAAGTGTTTGATTAATTATCCGGTTCTTAAAGTAGCGGACCCTTCCTTACCTTTTGTGGTCACGACTGACGCTAGTCAATATGGTATAGGTGCTGTACTCCAGCAAGATGATGGGCATGGGTACAGGCCTGTAGAGTTTATGTCTTGCCGCTTACCTAACGAGAAGGTGGCCGCTTCAACGTATGAACGAGAGTTGTATGCTCTGCGTGAGGCTCTCAATCATTGGCGACACTACCTTCTAGGCAGGCATTTTAAAGTATACTCTGACCATGAAACACTTCACTGGCTTAAAACGCAAGCTCGAATGACACCTAAGTTAACAAGGTGGGCTGCAGAGATTGATATGTTTGACTTTTATCTGAAGCCAGTCAAGGGTAAGTATAACGTTGTTGCCGATGCACTAAGTCGTAGATCAGACTTTTTCGGTGCTATCATGACTTACCTAGATGTAGGTACAGACCTACAAGAAAAAATTAGAGATGCGTATCCTTCTGATCCTGTTTATGGAACCATGATTAAGCTAGTGCAAGAAAAGCCAGCAGAGTTTCCCGATCATAAAGTAACTCAGGGTCTATTGTTTGAACGAACTGACGTGCATGATAGGCTGTGTATACCGAATAATGAGGAGATCAAGAGTATGATCTTGGGGGAATGCCATGATACAGAAGGCCATTTTGGGTGGAAGAAGACCTATGGGACCTTGTTACGCTCCTACACCTGGCCTCGAATGAAAGCGGATTGTATCGCGTATGTGCAGGGTTGCCAAGTGTGCCAACGAAACAAAAGAACCACGCAATCGCCCCTCGGGCTACTTAAGCCCTTGCCTATCGCTACCGGCCCTGGAGACTCTGTCTCTATGGATTTCATGGACACTAAGGTAAAAAGCAGAAATGGGAAGACGCAAGTAATGGTCATAGTGGATAGATTCACTAAGTTTGCTGTTTTTGTAGCTTTGCCTGCAGAAGCAAAGACTGAATTGGTAATTCGGGAATTCYTTAACCATTGGGTAAAAGACTTTGGACATCCCTTAACTATTGTGAGTGACAGAGATACCAGGTTCACAAGTGAACAATGGCAGCAACTGATGGATGTATATGGTTCTAAGTTGACAATGTCATCAGGTAGGCATCCTGAGACTAGTGGTCAGACTGAACAGATGAATAAGATCTTGCAGCAGACTTTGCGCATGTACATTCGTCCCGACCAGATTGACTGGGATGAACAACTGCCTAAGGTTGCTAGTGCCTATAATAACTCTGTGCATCTATCTACGTGTAAGACTCCTATGGAGTTACATCTGGGATGGCGTCCACGCAGACCCATTGATCGATTGAACCCGGATCAAGTACATAAGCTTCCTGTAGGGACTATTGAGTTTGCAGTCCAATATCAGAAAGACATTGAGAAAGTAAGAGAAAATATACTTAAAGCACAACATCAAATGATTGAACAGGCAAATAAACACAGACGCCCGTCTCAATTTGCTGTAGGAGATTTGGTTTGGGTGAAGTCTAAAGAGTTTGCTCCTGAAGAGAACATCTCTCAGAAGCTTCTACCCACCTACCGAGGACCTTGGCAGGTTCTAGACGTAATTGGAGATGTGGATGGTCCTTCGTATGTCATTGAGATTCCTCCTCATCTACGTACATATCCAGTGTTCCATGCATCCAAGCTCTTACCTTGTGTAACGAATGAGCTCTTCC